GGTGTTCAGGATTCTTGGCCACAGAGATTGCAGATTGGTTGTCCATGTGCAGCACAGAGGGAGAAGACAGTGGAGAAGCAATTTCAGAGAGTAAATTTCGAAGCCACTTGATCTCCTTGCCTGCCTGGACAGCTGCTATGTATTCTGCCTCAGTGGTAGATAGAGCAACGACGTTTTGAAGCTTGGAACACCAGGAGATTGCACCAGTACCCATCTTGACAACATATCCACCTGTAGAGCGACCAGTATCCTTGCAGCCACCATGATCTGCATCAGAGAAGGTGGTGAAGGGCTCAGAGGTTGAAGGATCAGGAGAATAGGTCAGGGAATAGTCCAGAGTACCCTTGATATAGCGCATTAGGTGCTTCACAGCCTGCCAATGAGCCCAGCCAGGATTGGAGTTGAATCTGGCCAGAACTCCAACAGTATAGGCAACGTCTGGGCGGGTAGTGGTGGCAAGGTACATCAGAGCACCTACAGTGGAGAGATAGGGTACTTGGTGCATTTTCTCGATTTCTGAGGCATCCTGGGGAGACTGGGAGCGAGAGAGGCGAAGATTTGGCTCCATGGGTGTAGATAGTGGTTTGCAGTCAGTCATGCCAAACCTTTCCAGTAAATCCAGGCAGTATTGGCGCTGGGAGAGCGAAATTGAGCGATTGGGGTGATCTCTGTCAATTTTGATGCCCAGGAGTTGGGTAGTAGGTCCTAGATCTCGCAGTTTGAAGTGCTGGCTGAGTTGGGAGATGAAGGAGTCTATGGCAGCTTCAGAAGACGAAGCAAGAGTCATATCATCCACAAAAACAGGCAAGATGATGGAGACACCATCCTTGGAGTAGATATAGATGCTGGCATCAGAATAGGTTTGTTTGAAGTGCAGGGACTCCAATACAGAGCGCATTTTCTTGTTCCAGCAATTGCCACCTTGTTTGCTGCCATAGATGGCTTTCTGCAGCAGGCAGACATGAGATTTCAAGTTTCCTTCCACAAATCCTTCAGGTTGTGCCATATAGACTTCACAGTCCATTTCCCCATTCAGGTAGGCATGGGAGATGTCCACAGAGCGCAGATGGAGGTCCTGGAGCGCTGCAAGAGCTAGAACCACTCTGACAGAGGCAAGGCGCACTGTAGGAGCAAAGACTTCAAGATAATCAAAGCCAGGGCGCTGATTGTAGCCTTTTGCGACCAGTCTGGCCTTGTAGCAATCTATGGAGCCATCAGCATTCCTCTTGACCTTGAATACCCACTTGGAGCCAATGACTTTGCATCCAGGGGGTCTAGGAACAAGTTTCCAAGTCCCATTTGTCTGGTGAGCTGCCAACTCCTCCAGGGCTGCTTTGTACCATTTTTCCGCATCAGGATGACTCATGGCTTCTGCAAATGTAAGAGGTTCATCTGGCAGGGCTGCAGACATGGCCAACTCATCATCAGAGTCTTCTTCATCACCAGAGTCCTCCAATTGAGCTGGGGAGAGCTTCCACCACTCTCTGGGCTTCTGTCTTTGCCTTCTGGGCAGTCTGGCACCTATGCCAATAGGACTAGGTGCTCTTGGGGGTGGTGCAGGTGATGGAGTGTGAGGAGGTGGCGCATCTTGAGCTGGGTGAGCAGGGAGAGGCTGGATAGGCACTGGATCAGCTGCTGGAGGCTCCAGAGGCTCTATCTCCCCCCCATGATCCAGGGAATCTCCAGAGTCACTTTCTGAGTCAGAATCTGGGTGAGGGTAGTAGTAAGATGGTTTGGAAGCTGGAGGTGCAGGTGGAGGTTGATTGGGTGGGTTTGAAGTGTCCAGAGAAGGTAAGGAAGGGCGCTTGGACAGGGGGAAGTACCTTTCATCAAAGTCAGCCCTTTCTGAGATTATGGTGCACTTGGAGGTGGGATTGTAGAATTTCCAGCCCTTGTACCCTTCTGGATAGCCAATAAAGACACATTTCTCTGTGTGGGACTCCAGAGGGCACCTCTTGTCTTTCTGGACATGTACATAGGCAGTACAGCCCCACACTCGAAGATGGGAGACATCTGGCTTCCTTCCATGCCATAGCTCATATGGGGTCACATTTTGGAGGGATTCAGTGGGGCACCTGTTCCAGACATGGACCAGGGCAGCTAGGCACTCACCCCAGAATGCCTTGGAGAGCCCAGACTCATCCAGCATCGCAGTGATGCGCTCAGATAGCACCCTATTTGCTCTCTCTGCAACTCCATTCTGCTGGGGGCAATTCCTGACAGTGTGCTGGCGCAAAATGCCACATTTTGATGTGAAATCTTCAAAGGCCTTGCTCATATACTCCCCTCCTTTGTCATCGCACAAAATCTTGATTTTTCGCTCAGATTGGTTCTCTGCAAATGCCTTGAACCTCTGGAAGGCATCAAAGACTTCAGATTTGGCCTTGAGAGGCAGGATAAAGCGAAAACGCGAGTAGTCATCGATGAAAGTGACCCAATATCGATATCCTGAGAAGGAGAGATGGCCCACATCATGCACATCACTGTGGACGAGTTCCAGAGGCCTGGTTGCATGCCAAGTGGAGCTAGGAAAGGGATTTGCATGCATCTTGCCAGCCAGACATGGTTCACAGATGGGATCAGGGGAGGACTTTGAGTCTAGGGTCATGCCAGTGACCAAATTTCGCTCTAGAAGGGATTTAACACCAGCCACATGGTGGTGGGCAAGCCTTCTGTGCCAGAGGTCCAGGTCTAGAGGGCAGGTGGTTGCAGCAGAGGCATATTCAGTGATGGGGAGTGTCTCCCCCTCCAGGAAAGCGCTATTGTTGTCCAAAATTCTTGCAATGAAGAGGACAGGCCCAGGGGGGTGTCTAAAGGATATCTGCGAAGAATTGATGCTGGCAGAGAAGCCCCTGTTGCGACAGAGATATAAGACAGAGAGCAGGTTGTTGCGCAGGTCAGGGACATGCAGGACATTGGTGATCTCCACAGGGCGACGCTTCTGGCCTCTGACCACAGGCACAAACACCACAGAGCCAACTCCAGCAGAGTATACCAATTTGTTGTCTGCCAGTCTCACAGGGACACATTTTGGGGTGTAATTGCGCAGCCAGTGGCGATGAGGGGTCATGTGTGCAGTGGCACCAGTATCTGCATTCCAGTGCACATCTGCATCGAGTTGGAGAGGGTAGAGAGGTGAGGAGGGATCTGTGGAGCGAAAACTTGCATTTCCAGCAAACTCAGCAATTGGGGGCAGGTTTTGGCTGTGTATACATTGCCTATGCATAGTCAAGGGCTGTTGGAGCGAATTTGAAGGTATGGGGGCTTGATTTGTAGCACTGGGAGGCTCCTGGAGATGGATAGTAGCCAGGGTTGACCAAATGAGGTCTGGGTGATCCTCAACAGGTTCAATGAGGGTTCTGAAGCGACCAGAGATGGCTAGATACAGTGCTCCAGCTGCTTGGTTCGCTCTGAGGTCCCATTGGAGGCACAGATTGCTTTCAGAGACAGGAGGGCGCTTTTCAGTACCACTGACAATGGTCCACAGTCCTTTAGAGTGCAGGAAGGCCTTCATTTCGCTGTTCCAGGCAGCATAGTTGGAGGCAGTGAGCTGGGTAATGGAGAGGGCAGCAGTGGTGATGTCTTCACTCATGTTGGCAAGATACAGATGCAATGGGTGAGTTCTGGGGCTACTGGCGACAAATATAGGGCTAGAGAGCAAGGGATAGGTCCAGGAAGTATGGGAAGTTGCACAGAGGTGGATGACGTGGCAAATGACGTGTCCAGAGAGTCCTAAGGTGCGGGGCTCATAACCTGTTAAGATATCCCAATACTCAGCACTATGTGCACAGAGTCAGTAACTGAATTGTTGTCTATGTAGTTTTACACACCTATGTGCACAGAGTCAGTAACTAAAGAACAAGATACTCTGTGCACAGTAAAAATGCGAACACTGAACAAACAAAGAACAACTGATGAAAATAAGTGAACACATCATTAATATGGAAGGTGGGGAACCTGGGAATTAGTCTGAGGTGCACAGGCACTAATAGCAACATGATGGACCCTATGTCCTTGCCTTTGACTGGCTTTCCAAGACCTTTGGAATTTGCCACATACATATCTCCCCCTATAACTCACATGCTAACAGAGTTGTTGAGCAATGGCATTTCAATGTGAGGGAGGCATTGGTGAAAAGTTGTGGAGGAGAGGTGTCAAAGTGATCAGAAGTTGCTCCTGCAGTATTCTGGGCAGAGAGGGTTACAATTCACAAGGCAACTGGGTTTTCTCCATTCTACATGGCTCACAGCATTGAACCTAGACTCCCTTTTGACCTCACTGAGGCAACATTCTTAGCCCCTTTTGAGGCAGAATTTTTCTCAATGACAGAACTCATTGCTCACCATGCTTGTCAACTTCAGAAATGTCCAGAAGACCTTGCCTGCATTCATGATCTAGTGCTTAAATCCCACTTTGCCTCTGTCAAAGATTTCATCACTTGCTTCAAACATACAATCAAAGACTTTGACTTTGAACCAGGATCACTTGTCCTTGTGTGGAATTCACATATCAAGTGGGAGCTCAATTGCAGGACCAAACCACAGTACCTAGGCCTGATGATCATTGTCCATCACACCAAAGGAGGCTCATACATCCTGGTGGAATTAGATGGTGCCATGTCCAAATTCCATTTTGCTGCCTTCTGTCTCTACCCCTATTTCCTGTGGAACACCTCTTGTATTGAAGTCATGCAGTTGCCTGGAATTTCTGCATGTGACTTAGATTGCCTGGAAGATGATTCACTACCAGACCCTGCACTCACTGGCATCCCTGTGGATGAGTCAGATGAGTAGCATATCTCTCTCTACCCTTTTTGTTTCTTTTCTTTTCTCTCTCTTTTTCTGTCTTTCTTTCTGCTTATATATATATCCATCTTCATCTCATATAAAGCAAAACCATCTCTGCTCACAAGAAAACAGTTGTCAAAGAAAAAAAAATTCTGCTCATCTCTCTCTTGTCTCTCATCTCTTGCTGATTCATTCTCTTTTCCTGCTCCTTACTTAATGATAATTCTGTTCAAAATACCCAAAGACACATCTAAAACAATTTTGCAGTCTGTTTATGCTACTGTACATGTGCTTACATATCCTTGAGCTGATCCTCCACCCTCTTTAGCTCCTTGTGTTGCCCCTGAACTGCACTGATCTGCTGCTCTACTCACATAGCCAACAGCCCCAGCATCTGATGGATCTGGGTCAGCTCAAACTCTTTGTCATCAGCCCTGTTCTCCAGAAGTTGAATGCACTCAGCAAGAGCCTCATGCATAGTTGTATCACCCAGGTTTGTGACCAGCAGAGTTTCTTCAACTGGGGGTACTTTGGACAGGTCCTGTGCACTGATGTTGGGTGTGGGTGGATCATCCAATAATCCAGTTGGTCTACCAAAGAGTCCACTGTTGCCAAGGTCTCCTGGATTGTCCATAGGTGGCAGAGTTGGCTCAAGGTGAGGTCAAGGTGCAGGGGTTGCTGATGGAAGGAAAAGAGGTGGTCAAGGTGTGGGAGGAGGAGGCATGATTGAGGTTGAAGGGGGACTAGCATGAGGTGTTGGGTGTCTGGGAGTTGGTTCAGAGTTTTGCCTAGGTGGTTTTCAAGCAGGGATTTGAAGTTTCAGCCCAGTTGTCACCAGAGTTTTGGTTGTCACCAACACTGTTACTGACTTGGTCTGTTTGTGTGATGGCCCAGCAGCTGTCTCTCCACTACCAGCATTCTTGTGCTGTGTTACAGTTCAGTGCCCTTGTTCTTCATGTTGTGATCAGCTTGTACTCACCTTCCTACCCACTCTGAGTGACCAGCTGCACTTCCACTTGGCCTGCCTGCATCACTTGCACAACTCCCCAGGTAGCCCTTCACACTCTGCATCTACCTTTGCACACTCCCAGCATGGAAGGTTGGCTTTGGGAGCTGGAGTGCCAGTTTTCAATGGGTCTGGGTTAGGTGGGCAGTTGCCTTCATTGTTCTCCAGCTTGTTGACTTCATCTGTGGCCTGTGGAGTTTTTCTGAATGTTAGCCATTGTGCTCAGAGTCTCCTGGAGGGCAGGATGTACCTTTTCCTTACCCTTCCCCTTGCCTGTACTATCCATCTGTTGCCTCACTTGTCCTCCAGTCCCCCTTGAAGACTCCCCTGCTCCAGTGTTGCTGGGCATGCAGCCTTGACCTTCACCTATTGCTGTGGTGGCCTGTCTGCACATGCACATAGAAGGTTCTCTTGTCAACCTCTCTGCCTCAAGCTGCACCCTCAACTCTACCCTCTCCTGGTAGTCTTCAAAGATGTCATTGATGTGGATCTGTCTCTGCTCCACTGGGTGCTGGAGGTCAGTGATGGCAATGGCACCCAGGACTAGAAGGTTTTGGCACATCACAGATTCATCAGTGTAGTTGTGCATGCACTTGTCACAAACCTTCAGTACAGAAATTCTGTTGTCATCAATGTATCTCCACCATGAGTGAATGCTGGCCTGCAGAACTCTGTCAAAGCATGACACACTACTGTGGAAGGTTTACTCACCCTTGTCTTGTCCCAGTCCTCCACCCACACATAGATGGTCTCCAAACTCTCCTCTGGCTGTGGTGCCACCTTGATCAGGTCCCAGACATGCCCTAGAGCTGCTGTGAGCACCATGGTTGCCTGGTCCCTCATGCTGAACACAGGGTGCATGTTGTTGATGGAGTAAGCTTGCATGGTAGTTAGCAAAGGAAGCAAGAATCTGAGAGTGGGATGGTGGGGTAACAAGGATGAATCTGACGATGAAACAGTTTCTGGGTGAGTTTTTTTTTCTGCAGGGCTGTTGCTGATGCATTATCCATGTGCAGAGTTTTTGCTCACACAAGGCACATGGCTGAACATGAGCCATCTTTGTTTATGTCACCTGCCAAATCTCTGCCACCCTTCTGTTGCAACTTGATGACCTCTGACCAAGGACAGTCAGCATTCAAAGACCCTGGGAGGTGTAGGGAGTGGTATACTCCCTGAGGCCAAAATAGGGGTGCCAACACCAAAATTCTGCCATTACCAAAGTTGACCCCTATCAAAGTTCCATATCTGTCATCTTTGGAATTATTGCATCAGCCTCATACATCAGCCTCATGTGTCACCTTGCCCATCAAACCTTCAGAACTCCCCTGTCCATCAATAACACACACCAGTCATTTTCCTGGAATTCTGTCAACATCAACCTGACATATGTCTATCCAGAATTCCACAGTCGTGTTGCCTCATCCTTCACCTTGCCACATAGCCAGGAAATCATGCAGATCATCAGTAATAAACTCCAGTTACCCCTCTTGTTCCTTTCCCACAAATCTTTCTCTGCAATGTGAGAACCCCTTTGCATCTACAGCCTCTATCCTTCACATATGCTACTCTACAGTATGTGGTATTCTTGTTCTGTTGAAAGATACCCATCTTTCCCTTTGTTTCTCTTGGTTACTGCTTTTCAGTTGGTTTTCACATGATTCTGTAGTGTGTTGACATCTGTCACATCTCCCTTTATTTTTCAGAATTTTTACTTCACCTGCCCCACATTATCCTGATCAGTACCTTACTCTCCATGTACTATATAATTTTGCCTCAGCAATGGAAAAATACCACCCATCTTTTGGAGTCACCATCCAAGTCATTCATGTGTCTAAGTGTTCAAAGTGTCTGCTGCATCCTCTGTGTCTACTGTGTCATCTGCATTTCTAGTGTCAATCTGCATCTACTGTGTCTTTTGTGTCCCCCACATATCTGTGTCTCACCTTTGTGTCTCACAAGTCTTGGAATTACTTCCTCATGCCAAGATTGTCACTCAGAATTTCATAATCAAGTCTATTCGGACCCAAATCATCTATGACACTGCAGAATTAAATTCCATGCCCTACATTCAACTTCCTGATTGACTCTACCATCATATTCTACATCTCCTTCCTACTCAGCACCCCTTGGGTTGAGCCTAGGGATTACCCTACAGCTTTCCCCCTATTCACACACTACCCAGAGGTAGTGTCCCACATTGGGCTGCTAAGGAGATATCCAATGTCTGTACCCATACAGAAGGCAAGGGTCACATTGATAGCTGGTATATATGTTCAGACGCATGCATTGAGTTGTATCGAAGATCCACACACCCCATCCCAACAAAACAGCAATAGTGCTGGAGGAAGCCTATGACATGTTAGGTAGGCTATTTTGTATTGTTGAGTGACATACAATGGCCCAGGGAACAGCTGTGGCAGCATTTGAAGTTTCCTCACTGAGCCCATGTACCTAGTTAGGCCATGTCACACAGGCCAGTGGAGGTTGAGCTGACCTATGAGTTGTCAGCATAATGTAGGGATTGACTGTAACTATGTTGTCATGTGTCATTCAGGATTGGCTACAATTGTATTGTCATGCATGATAGACAAATCAGGTGCAATTATATTTTTAGGTGTCACATGGAGAGGCTTCAAATAGAATATCACCATGTGATAGGGACATATATGGCATAGCCCAGGTCAGATTGGCATCCTGTACATAGTGCAGCCCAACATGACTACACAGTATGTCCAGTTCTGGAGTAAGCTGTGTCAGACACTCTGGAGCAAATTCCAGAGCAAACTGTGGCACATATGCCAGAGCATACCATAGCATTTCAGAGCACTCTGGAGCATGCCATGGCTGCAGCATATGTTCTGAAGCAAACTGCAGCATGCCAGCCACTCCAGAGCAACTGCTGGAGCAAACTGTGGCACATGTGCTGGAGCATGCCATGGCCCTCCAGGGTAAGTGTCAGCATATGTTCTGAAGCAAACTGTGGCATGCCAGCCACTCCAGAGCAAATTCTGGAGTAAACTGTGGCACACATGCTGGAGCATGCCATGGCATTCCAGAGCAGGCCATGGCCCTCTGGGGTAAGCTGCAGCATATGTTCCAAACCAAAGTGTGGCATGCCAGCCACTCCAGAGCAAATTCCAGAATAAACTGCAGCACATGTGCTAGAGCATGCCATGGCCCTCTGGGATAAGCTGCAGCATGCCAGCCACTCCAAAGCAAATTCCGGAGTAAACTGCAGCACATGTGCTGGAGCATGCCATGGCCCTCTGGAGCACACTGCAACACATGTGCCAGTGTAGGGAGTCATATACTCCCTGAGGCTGGAACATGAATCAATCACTAAATTCCACAAGCCTCTGCAACAGACCTGTTTCAGGATTTTTTCCTGCTTGTGACCTTGTGTTTTCTCCCAACCCTGGTCAACTTCAGAGTTTTCCCCAACCTTCAGCATGTTGCCCAGTCATCAATAAAGCTGATCCAGAAATTCTGCATTCACCCAGAGTCATCTGGAGTTCAGTAGCTGCACTGCCTAACCACATCATCACTCATTTGTGCCAGACACCTCTAAAAAACTCTGGTTATCCCTATCACCCTAAATTCCACAAGCTGGACTTTGTGCCAGTATGCTCTGCCCTTGTCACAAATTTCCTAGATCCATGACAAGTCATTAGCATACCTTAATAGGAGTGGATTTCCCACACCGCCTTTTAATGACTTGTAACGCCACCCACTTTCCATGAACATGCGGTTGAAATCATGTGTCATCTCATGATTATGACTTTGATGACTCATTATTTTACATAATCATGGTATTATATCGCTGCAGCCTAATAAGTACTTATAATGACATGACAATGGCAAAGAACCCATAGTAATACCAGGAACCCATCATGATGTATACTAACCATTATTATTTATTAATATTTTGACAATCCGTTGTTATTTCATTTTGCCTTGGTACAGTCATGACGATGGTTAAAGTTCCATTTCAGAAATCACTACTTATCGATGTATAGACAAGTGGTGGTAATAATTGGAGAGTTCTACCTAATAATGCCAGTGGTGCACGTGGATATGCAAAGCAGACGATGAGTGACTAAGAACGGCAAGGGGAGGAAGGGACAGCAGCTAAATGTAAGTATGGGAGTCATTGTGATGATGACACAAGGAGGAAAGTAAATGCATGCACTGTGGACAACCATCAGATCACTAATAGCTTATGCAGTGTAATTGAAACACTTACGAGATTAGTGAACCAATGAGGGCGGCGAGATGGGATGACGGGATGAGGAAGATAGAATAAGTGTTATGCAAGAGGCATTCATAGCATCGAGCAATAGGATGGAGCTGGTGTCGACAGCAACACCGACATCACGAGTTGTCTGGAACCTTGAAAAAAGTTAACATCAGAAGTAATAGTGTCATGAATGAAACATACCTCAACCCTTGAACCCACTCCCCAGGTGATGGACAACAACAAATGGGCACGACAAGGTGGATAACAGCAACAACACCATATGACAACGCAATGAACCATGTGGGAGACAACAAGGCATGAGAAGAGGGGTGAGTCGCTTATAATATAGCTAGCGGAGTTTGAATGACTTAGAAGAAATCAGATGATCAGCGACAATGTACGATTTGCAGCGAATGAATGTATTACAAGTATATCTATGTAGCCTTAAAACATGGACTGCATCTAATGTAATGGGATGCAAGCCAAATCAAAGACCGTAGATCATTGGAAACCTGGCACATAAGTGACAATTGCAATGCGATGATGATGATTCAAACCTTCGTCTTCTTCAGTTTCGAGGACCTTGTAGCAGCAACACAGCGACCATGGCAGGTAGGTTCCAGAGCTGGTTCAGTAGCATGAATATCAGTCATAAAACCCTCGGGAACCACCTCGGGAACGGCTGCAATCGCCTTTTGAGCGGCTGAGCTGCACCAGCAACTCACGACTGGAATTGCTTGTCGGGATCGAGATGTTTCAGCCTCAGCTGCACCAGACACATTCATCTGACCAACAGCAATGGTCACTGCTGACACCTCAACACCACTGTTTGAAATTGGCTGCCCAATTGAGATAGAAGGGGACAATCGATGAGAAGCACCAGAAATAGTTTTAGCAGCGAGATCAGCTTGTGCAGCAGTGATGCTAGCTGGATGAGAGTGAGGGGGATTGAAATGAGTGACCGAGCCAGTAATAGGTGATGGAGCGCGAGAGACCGATGACAGATCGGAGTCATGTAGACCTGAATCACAGCTGCCAGGGGCATTGGGGTCATACAGTGTGGAAACAGGCAGGGTGTGACTGTCAGCGGGGTCAATGTTGTCGAGTTCATCTAAAAATTCATCTTCCCAAGTACGCAGCTGCTCCACATTAGCAAATACCTCGGATTCGACATTCGCCAATTGAGAACCCTTCCCGAAGACTTCCTGGTTGAAGAAATTCATCACACTGACAGCCCAAGGAGATGCTTTGAAAAGCTTCTTGAGGTAGAAATCATATTCTGATCGGTAGTTGACCTGTGTTTCTGCACTGGTAGCACTTAATTCAGGATCATGCGACAATAGGAATCGAACCTTGGTATGATATTGACGTCAGCGTGTACTAGCAGTGACCACAGACACTCTCACCAAGATGCAGGCACCAGCAATCAGGCCCTCAGTGACGCTCAGCACGCCCATCTTCTGTCCCCTGGCTGGGGGCCATCCACATTTGTTTTCTGCAAGGATCGATTTTCCAAACATCAGGACACAGATAACCTATGGGCTGAAATCAACTTTCGAGTAAGAGTGGCATTGAACTGCGCATGCCTACCTTAACTAGGATGGGACTCTTCAAGAAGCCTCCAGTAACCATCTGCTTAGGATCTGCAAAAAGGATGGGTGCAAAATGGGTGTACTCTCCGACTCCATCCTTCTTCAAGAGCTCCAGGCATGCCTTGTTGTCCTTCTTACAAGCGGGCTTTCCAGTAAAGAGATCTGGTGAAATGTTATATGGAGCAAATAACGTGCCAGCACAGTCCTTGATGACTTTGAGGACATTGGATCTCTCCTGACCATGTGCTTGTATGAACTTCAAACAAATTAATATGTTAGTGGTCACCAAGGTTGGAATTACATGTACCATGGAGCCAAATTGCTTGTAGGTTACCATTGACTCATGTAAATCTGCAGGAATCATCTTGTAAAGCTCAGTCAGAGTGCCCTTGAGCTTCCCATCCTGTGATTTCCACTGTGCTGGATCGCATTGATCAGTATTGGGATTTGGAGCTGCTGGGAAAAGGCTTTGAATAATGAAAAAATGGTACAGTAGGAGGTATTTCTTTGCTTCTTGCTCAATATGAGTCATGAGGCTGTTTGGCTTGCTAGAAGCGTTCCTGGACTGCTTGGAACGCTGGCTATTGGCTTCGAAGAGAGCCTTCCTTGTCTGGTGCAGTTCCTTGCAGCATTTGGTGTATGCTCACTGCACAACACTGAGAGCCTAGCATCATGTCAGTACTAATGCCTAGTGACTCATCATGAACAAGAATGTATATGTACCGCTTGCAGCTCAGCAATGTCAGCTTGAGGTCCAGGAACATGGGTAAGTCACCTGTGCTGTTTGGCATTGCTGTCCAGGTCTTCCAAGTTGGCATTGTCCATCCCTTCATCAAGGTTGAAGTCTTCAGGACCTCCATCCTTGGCATCAGAGTTAAAGGCGTCATAAGCAGCGCTGGGTGTCATATCAGTGAAGGAAATGGACATCAAGGACCAGAGGAAATGGTAAGGCCACACATGGATGGTTACAAACCTTTGCAAGCCTCCCTTTATTCTCCTTATTAAGGGCCACAGATGTCACAAATCCCAATGGAGGGCAACACCTGTCAGTTGGGTGCTCTTAGATGAATATGGAAAATTTGAATAGTACAACAAAAAGCAATACGTACATAGTAGTAGCCTCAGGGAATCCACATGGCGGACCGTCAGCGGGTTGGATGTCAGTGGTTGCAAATAACCAGCTATTGAGCCGGTCTGAGGACATAATAAAGCACAATTCGACAATGCCATCAGCAGTATGCGACTATGGTACGAAATTTGCTCACCTTAGTCCATTTTGATATGTAATCGAACATGCATTCCGGGGATCAATGTTGATGTGGTACGAATCACAAGTGTAATATGCGATGATGCAAGGAATTGCGGCATTGTCATGTGTCAATCGACTGTGACTTGAATACCTTTTGGGAGCTTTTTTCTTGCTTTCTTTCTGGTTATAATATTACACCCATTTTATTAAATTTGTTTGTGTAATGTTACAGATGCAGCACCATACGAGAGACCAAAGGACAATGATAAGGAGTGTTGTAGTGGTACTTTTCGTAGTCTAGTGTAGACAATTTGACACTGGTGTTGCATGAACCCAGCCACAGATTATGCAAGAAAAACTAGTGGAATTGAAAGCGGAATGCTTCGGCACTGTAAGTGGTTTGAGATGGGTTGGGATAGGAACGATGGGGAACTGCAAACTCACCAGGAGAAGTATGAATCCTTCCAATGGGCAGCAGCAGCCACATGATGAACAGCTGCAGAACCCTGCGTCATCTCTGCTTTATACTGGAAATAATACCACACATACTCCCAAGAAGCAGGTACTCACTGCGAGGATATGACTTCATGCATGAGTGGAGGACTAAGCAGGTTCCCCTCGGCAAACGAAGATTGAATGGTCTCGCACATTTAGTGTGTTGGAAATGGTTTAGGTTGTACCACTTACTCTGGCATGTGGATGGTCTTAGTGGGAGATACAGTGGCAATGGCTTGTGCTACCTTCGCAGACATCCACACCATGCTACTCGACATGATGCAATGGGAAGATGGTGTGTGAAAAAGCATGTATAGTGGGTCGAACCATGGGCAGGACGGAATGTTGCAAAGAGGGACCAGTCGAGCACACAAAGACTTTGTCTTGCTCATAACATGTATTGTGAGTTTTGTATACGTGCATGTGAACGTGAAAAAAAGCGAGACCAGATGCTGCATTCTGTATGAAGATCTGACGTTGTCAAGGAAAAAAGTCAGCGAGTAAGTGCGTGATGAATTGGATACAAGGTGAAAGGGTATGCTCAGCTTCCCAACACTCATCTGACTCAAATGCATTCCATCATGACCTTGACTGGCCAGCGACGCATCTGTTGTATCTGCGGGTGCGAAGCGTCGCCAACACTCGTTCTGTTTGCTGATGCCTTATCGTATGCCTATAAACTTTTGTCAGTAGCATATGCACCTTGAGTATCTTCAACACTCTTGCATCTTCACGGTCTCCATTTGTCCAGTACCTGTTTCAATTAGTAGCTTCTGTTCTCACATCGTATGAAATTCACCTTGTGCCTCATTCACCAATTCCCCTCGCTGACGGTCGACTGTTGGTCTCTTGTGAGCGTGACCTTTGATTCCCCCTCCACTCTCGGCGACATCAACTCGAAATCTCCTCTTCCACACTCAGTGACTTCAAGTCTACCCCTTCCCTGCCCCACCCATGTCCCCCGATGCATTCAAAATTCCCAACGGCGCTTCGACTCCATTGATGTGCCCTGAGACTGCTGAAGTGGCTACAGATGTGTTCAGCGACTTGTATAGCTTGGTGGTATGTCTTCTGTTCCACTTGTGTACTAGTCATGTTGATATTGACTTCGCCACTAGAATTTTTCTCCCAACAGTTCGCCCCCCTGAATGGGCCTGCTCCTGCTGCAGTCAGCTACAGCCTTCCACCATAGACCCCACTTTACTCTCCCTCGACACTTATCCCCCTCCTGATATCCCAGCCGACTGACAGTTCCCGTCACTGAAACGAACTGGGCGGACGATGTGGACATCGACTTCCACTTCGATTCTGACTTTCTGCAACACCCTACAAGCCAGTCATCCATGTGCTGGACATGTTTCCTTGCTGAACAAGTTGTGTCTGAGAAGGTCCTTGGAAAATGGAATGAGGGGGGACTAGGGAAGTGAAGAGGAACTGAATCATGGTTTCTTCGCCTTCAAGGCTTCAACAGCCTTGTAGACCTACATACATCCCTTTGCTCTGTAGTTTCAACACTTCATTGGTCAGAGTGTATCTCTGTCATTGTACATAAAAGGAACGAGATCAGTTGTCCGCTCTGGCAGCCTGCTGTCCAGCATCCAGTAGATTGAGTTTTGTGTGGTGGGCATAACAAGTAGTGAAACAGACCGCACGATATCCCCCAATGTCCCTGCATCAGTGCACCTACTACTTACCGCTTTGCTCCACAGCAGGGGGGAAAAGAGTTGGGTATGTGTCTGATGTGATCTGTTCCAGAGTGGTTGCTAACAGTATTAATCGTGACTTACTATTTCTCGATGTTGGCTTCAATCTGTCACCCGAGTACCTTTGATCTGCTACTGAGCGTGTTGCAAGTCTTCAGATTCCTTGCTAGGATGGTTGACAGCTTGCAAAGGACAAGACAGTGATGGGTCAGAATAGACATCTGCAATGCACTCAAAATTCTCTGGTTGGAAGGCCACTAGAGACGGTAAGTAACCTACATCGCCTGTGTCCATAGGAACATATCACTATCAAGCTGCTCAACAACAAAAAATTTGTCATCATGTTTGGTGTCAGGTGCTAGAACAGCCCCTCAGATGATCGAGCACAATGGTATGAAGATGGACGCAGCCCACAGAACCGGCTTGACATGTTTGAGCCTGAGATTGTGATCAATAGTGCAGGGCCAGTCCGATCCTTGTCGTGAAGAGTTGCACCAAGATAAATTCCATGTTTCCTATGTCTGGAATGACACAGGAAAACATGCAGATGAGATGAACGAAGGCAGTTTCTGTCTCAGTGTATTGAATAAGCGCACAGTCGTAGCAGGGCACACCAAAAAATGACAGGTTGCAGCAGAGATGATCTGTGCACTGGTTCCAGGTGACAGTTGACTCATAGTTGACCAGCAGATAATGGTATTCTTTAACCTTAGCACAAGCACAGTTTCAACTAGATGAATGTATAATGAGAGTGTAGATACGTACCACGAAGTCAGTGGGGAGGGAGATCCATGACTTGACTTGGTATCCATATGCCAGAAGGGCATCATTAAGGAACTCGCAGAACCTTTGATGGAACTGATGGAACGCCATATCTGGCTGACCATTTTCCTCTAAGTCTTTCAGGGTTTGGGTTGTGACGATGTGTGCACCAAGCTTAATATGATCAAGTGAGGTATGCTCACTGACCACATCAGCTTCTGGATCTGATTCCCCAGAGACAGATTTCTTGAGGTGATCAACACGCAATCTGAGAAGCTTCATAGCAAGAACTTGGTGATCTACCTGCAAGACCTAACATGCGTTTTAAAGTGACTGTGAGTAGGAATGTCAGCACACACAGTTGTCACACCTGAGCAGGAACGTCTCTACCGTTCGAACGGTGTTCATATGCGTCTCGGATTGGCTTATGCATACTTTCGTTGGGCCAAGTGCTATAGTTGCGTGCGGCACCCTTTAGGCAGATATCTCGAACAACATGCTTCCAAAGGTGGACTTTTGGGAAATTCCAGTCAGTTCACAGACCATCAATGTTGGACTTCATGATGCATTTGGTGTAGTCCTGAAAATGACACATTACAACAAATTGGCATGAGCACAAAGCATATAACTACCTTCAGTGTCTGATCAAATGTCAATATCTCGTTGTTGATCATGTTAATCGTATGTTCAGTCTGGACATCTAAGCTGATGAGGCTATCAAGCTGTAGGTAGCTTTCAGATGACTCGGAGGAGCTGGTACCCTTCAGGGGTTACACTCTTCTTCAAAACATTGATTGCCACATAGAAGATTTGCTAGGGAACAGTTCATTGACAGCCATCCGGTATTGGACACACGCACCTTGGGGATATCAGCCAGCTTGTTACCATCTGAAAAAGTGACATGAATAACTTGGTTGAAGTGTGCGAGGTTTTGCCAGCGAGGAAAACTTGCAACACTGTCGTTGTCAAAGGTGAGAAGTGACAACGTTCACAGCAATTGTTTGTCAAACAGTGACTCACTACTTCTTGACATTGGCTTCGATCTGTCGCCCGAGCGCCTTTACAATCACCTTTAGGTCCCCAAAGATGTGCTTGCCCCAAAAACCATGCCCATAATGCAGTCAGTCAAAGCTGCAGGCAAGGTGGAGATCAGAGAACCCAATCATCCAGAACATGTTCTGCATCCCATTAAATATTAGTTTGTTGACGGGTGATTTGTCAGTGGAAACTTACTTCGATCAGTCATAAACCTAACCACTTTAGCAATTCATCGCCTTTGACTTGATTCGTTGCATGAACACATAATGCATCGATGCCCTGGGCATGCATATGAGGTTCAAAAGTCCTGGAGAGGTCATGGAGTAGCTCTGACAGTACAAGACATACAGGGCAAGGGCATTTGCCACCATGACCATGAGTGAGTGCCATCATGCATCTATAGTAGGCCATTGAGTTAGTATTGCCAGTTCGAGCAAGAAGAAGAAAGTATATTACATCTCTTCAAAATCGGCAGACAGTATCATAAGACTCGGAAAGAGCCAATGGGTAATGTTGTCATGCGAAGATGTATGTGCGTACCCAGTCTTTGAGTACTGCTCAATCTCCAGAAGTAACTTTTTGAAAGATTTGTGCCAAACGACACGCTTGAGGGTTGTGTAGCCTAGCTTTCCCTCTTCTTCAGCATCTTTGGGGACCTGAAATGTTCTTAGTCTATATGAATATCTAAACAGTGGATGTCATTCACAATAGCCAGCCAGCCAACAACAGTACCCCCACCAACAACATTGCTATTCTGAATCTCAACCGGTAAGTTTGCACAGCGCACAACGATGGGGTAACTCTTGGCAGTGCCGAAAGACAATAGGTTGGACTTGTCAGCATAAAGGATCAGGCCAAATGGCACGGCGTTCTTGATATCTGGTAGACTCGACTAGCACAAATACAACATGTTATGTACGGGTAATGAATGACATATCGACCAGGCACATACTTGAATATCCCACCAATAATCTCCGGTCCAGGGCTCGTCATAAAAATGTTCATACTCAATGCCATTGTGCCTGTAGAGTTGCTGTGTGTCCCAAGTGAAGTGTGGACCGAGGAATGGATTTTCTAAGATATCGAGTGCCCACTCCCACAGTGGGCGAATATGCGCTTTGAACATACATTCTTCCTTTTTGTATGGTACCTTAACTTCGACCCTGGAGAACTATTTAGAGAGGTAGGATGGATGGCGACAAATGGACATTTGAAAATCTTACCGGAGTGAGTTCCATTGCAGCTGCATCACACACTTTGTGAAGTTCGGCATCATTCTTGAGCGTGACTTGGATGGCTCCCTGTGTGACATGAGCAAAGAGATCCAGCAGGGCATTGACCTGTTGCTGGTTGAGCAGTGAAGCGAGTGCGATTTCTGCAAACTCGAAGTCACCCAACGTACGAAATGGGGACCAAGGTGTCTTGTCAACCGGGGATGCAGATTTCTCACTGTGAACATGGAACTCTTCGTAAGACTGATAAATCGGTGGTCGATTGCTTCTCGGATGAAATTGGATCTTGAATTCAGGAAGTTTTGCCACATTAGAACTTGTGGAAGTTGGCATCGACATGTCTGAGGGAATTATGAGCACTGCGAGAACGTGCACCGAAGTGAATATGTACCTGAGGTGTGGAGCATGTCACTCGTCTCATTGTAATCTTGTCCCATAGTCACCTCGACTGCAGCTGCAGCTTATCTGAGACTAGGACCACAACATAAATGAAAGTCAGACTCACCAGGTTCATCGACAAAAAAATATCCTGTATCTGTATGGTGAGCTTCGGGCACTCGAGACTGCGATTTGAGTACCGATGCTCTTGCAGCTTGATGGTGGGCAGCTGAGTTAATAATTGAAGCCAGAAACCATTAGATTGAGTCTGCCTGCACTACGCACCAATTCATGTACCTCGTTGTTTCTCTTCATGCTGACATTCGAAAGCTACACACTCCCTCTCATCTTCTTTGTGCTTCCTGCAACTCGCCTCGTGCTGCTTGAAACCAGTTTTCTGAAAATTCCTGTTGCAGTGTGGGCATTGATGGAAAACGGCATGATTCTGTTCAGCATTTTGATGGGTCGAAGCTGAATGGGTGGTACAGGAGGGAGCCATGAGAGAAGATGTCTCGTAGCTGACTGATAGTTGTCAGACATGCTGCATACGCTGTGTTCGGCTGATGTAAGACAAATGTCACGCCATAATATCAGTCATTATCAGATCATTATCACTCAGTAACTCAGGTAACTCCCATCCAATGAAACTTCTTCCCTTGGCACTGCCCCCAAGCCATTGACATATCATTACCAGGCCATTTTAATGACCCTAATAAGGAAACTTGTGAGCATTGTCAGCTGGCGGCATTATCAGGCGCCTCGAAAATTTGCGACACTCCTGTGCTTCCCCCTCCCATCAGCTCCACCTCTCACTTGTACACATACCCTAGTTCTGTTGGAAGATACCCCTTACTGTTGACCCATTTTTACTCTTGTCTACTACTCACCAGACTATTTCACATGCATCTGTAGTTCACTGATGTCTGTCATCCTTTCCTTTATTTTCTGGGTTTTTTTGTTTTTCTGCCCCACCTTACCCTGACTTGTACCTACTTCTGTTGTACTATATAATTCTGCCATAATGTCAGAAACAAACCACCCACCTTTAGAGTCACCATCTGTGTGTGTTCTGTGAGTTCAAGAAGTTCTCAGAGTCTAAGTGCATATTTTGAGCCCACAGCATCTACAGCATCCCCAGTGATCCTCATGTCTCTTGTGTCTTCCAATCCTGTACATCTTTTTCTGTATCCCCCTCACCTCAAATACACTCTTCTTGCTGCAATTTGGCTTCTTGGAATTTCATATACCCATCTTGCTATCCTTGTGCATCCACAACCTCCCCCCTGGAATTAAATTCTTCGACCCTTGCACATATTCCCCACCCCTTCTAGGGTAACCCTCAACTTCTCCCTCCACACAGTGCCCCTTGGGACAATCCTAGGGAATTCTCCCTTCAGCCTTCCTCTAGTCACATGCTTCTCAGAAGACATGTCACACAATGTTTTGGAGCCCACCACAAGGGGTCTGTAGATCTGGAAAGGAGATCCTTATGACCCACTCATCAAAGAACTGAACTTGAAGAGCTCCTAGAGCCCTTCTGCAGACTATCTATTTCTTTGTCAGAAATCTTAATCCCAGTAGCTGATCCTAGAGATATTTCAGAGCCACACTCATCAGACTCAGATCTCAGGTTAGACCAGAGCTTTTGGAGCCCAGAGTCCCCAGCATTTTACCCAGTGTTCCCAGGAGGATTCAACTTGATGAACCCTTCGACCCTCCCACTGAGCATCAAGAACTTTCAACTCTCTCAGAACTAACCTCTTTGTCATCCTTGCCATCCAACAATTCAGAACTAGCTGCTGAACAATTCCTCCTTCCTTCCTACTCCCTAATCACACATTCCACTATCACCCTTTCTACTCAAATACCTGTACAGAATACTCTTGCCTCAACTCTCTCAAATTCTGCTCCTATCCTCCCCCAAATTCCAATCCAGATCCCCACACCACCTCACATAATGTCTGGAGCAAAAGATATGCCACTCAGGGGTTCCAACAAAGCCCCAAAGTTTTCTGGGCATACTGAAGATATCACCCATTACCTCGAAGATGTTGAACAACTCTCCCATGACACTGGTCTCATTTCTGGGAAAGATAAGATCCACTGGGTCATTTGCTACACTGACCACAACAAGGCAGAGTTTTGGTCCACCCTAGATGCTGCAACTGATGACTTCAATGACTGGGATGCATTTTCCAAAGAGCTCCTGAACTACTATCCAGGTGCCTCAGTGATCTGGGAAAGATAAGATCCACTGGGTCATTCACTATGCTGACCACAATGAGGCAGAGTTTTGGTCCACCCTAGATGCTGCAACTGACAGCTTCAATGACTGGGATGCATTTTATCCAGGTGCCTTGGTGAAAGATCATTGTTATACTAAAGCCAACCTCAAAACCTTACTCTACCATCAAGTTCAGAAACCAATGGAATCACTGGAAGATCTCAGGAAATACATCTGAGAATTCCAACGCATTCTTGGCCTTGTCCAGAAGAAGAAGAAACTCCCTGAGGACTACATCAATGAGAAATTCCTTGAGGGGTTTCCCCCAAGGTTTTGGAATTCCTTGCTCATGTGATTGCAACTCTCTGACCTAGATCATGACATCAATGAACCATGGGAGTTTGATACAGTCTATAAACATGCCAACTACCTGCTCAGTGGGGCCAAACAAAACCTCCCTCAGCCAGATTTGTTGGCACTGTTTCCCCAGAATTCCACTCCATCCTCCTCACTGACTGTTCCTACTATCTTGAAATGAGAGTATGTTCATGTTGCTCAGCAACCTGTTGCTGCCCCACCTCCTCAACAAGGTCAAGAAGGCCAATTCTGTCATTCCTTTGATCCATGGTGTTTCTTCTGTGGAGGAACAGATGGCCACAGAACTGCAGAGTGTGCACTGTGTCACAAATACATACAAGCTGGGAAATGCTCCCTGATTGGGAGAAGAGTTTTCATGCCAGACAACTCTGACATTCCTAGGACAGCTGTGGGTTGTAATTTCAAGGAAAAGATTGATAACTTCCTCACCATGTGCAATTTGATCATTGCCTCAGCAAACCTTGTCTCAGTTCAGTGGCCCAGCCGGCAGTCATCCTCATCCCATGGGCATGATACACCTTCCCACCTTGTCAGTGCAATGTTCTTCAGCAATGGAGATGCCTTGGAATACCAAGTTGACTTACACCCCTCTTCCTATCTAGTCAATGAAGACCTAGAGGATGCTGATGAAGAGGACCAACATGCCTTAGCAAGGGCTTATGCACAAGTAGAAGAGTTGAAGAATGCTATCAAGAAAAAGAAGACAGCTTGCTTCAATGGCATAGAAGTCCTGGTTCATTGTCAAAGGCTGGCACTAGCAGTCCCAGTGTTGGTCAACACACCAGTGGCCCCTACCCCACTCAGTAATCCTGCTCCAGCTAACCCTGCCTCATCTTCAGAAGCCCCAGCAGCTGGAAAAACTCCAGTTGCTCCTAATCTTACTGATCTCCAGAAGCTTAAGCCGTTTACAAATTCCACACCCCAATTCCATTACCAAAGCAGCTTTGATGAGGCTGCAGCAACCAAGTGGATCATAAACCAGGTCTTAGATGCAAAGATGGAAATCTCCACTAAAGGACCTACTAGCTGTCAGCCCAGAGATTTGCAAGCAGGTCAGAGAACTGGCATGCAATGAAGAAGATAACTAATCAGGAGTTTAGAAACTGCATCAGACATGACACCCTCAGCTGCCTAGGTGCATCCTATGAGCAGTACTGGGTCAGAGACACAGAAGGGAAGTGCATAGGCCTTGCTATGGCTCCCTTACATGCTGTCAACAGAATCTTGATGGACAAACTCCACATTCAAATGTATTCTGGACAGCAGATGTCAGGTAGTGGCCTTGCAATGGGAGTTGTGGGAAGCCTTAGAGGCCCCCCTCCATACTGACATGACCTATGACTCTGGAGGCCACTAACCAATCCAAAGAAAGCACCCTTGGGGTCATAGAGAATGCCACCTTGCACATAGGAAATGTTGAGGCCCATCTACAAATCCAAGTCATTGATTGCATGCACTTTCAACTTACTGCTTGGTTGATCCCTTCTTCTGCCTACTCTCCAGCATGTCTTCATGATTTCCCTGATGGAGAACAGTCTCTAGAAATCTGTGACCCTAATTCCAGGAAACAAGTTTTAATTCTGACACAACCTCACAACAGACTGCAACCCCTTCCACATTTCATAAATTCTGAAGATGAAGAAACTTCTTCATGCAAAAAAAAAACATGTCACCACATGAATCCACCTGAACAGGGTTTTTAATATCAGTCGAGGACTTGTACAATCTGCAAGGAGACCAGGATTGTGCTTTCTCTGTGTGTTCACTTTATGTTTCTGATCCACCTTTATACCCTTTGAAGTCTACTGCATTTTTGCCCACAGACACTGCTATAAATCCCACTGTGGCATTTATCTATGATTTACAAGGCAACAGTATGCCCCCTGTCAATCCCTTTGACACCAGTTCCATTTCTCTGACTGATCCTTTCTTGATTTCAACTGCTACTACCATTTCTCCACTGACAATCTCTGCCTTATGCTCTACTTATCAGTTCAATCCTGTTTATCATGTCTTAAAGTACAAACCTGTAGTGAGGAAGGTGAGGCCAGTACTGATGTCAATGCCAGCAGAATTCCAGGTAGAGTGTCAGGAGGCTGAAGACCCACTTGCAGATCTGCCTGTTTTACATACCCATCCCCTGCCATTCATGCCAGGTTCCAGGTTTACTCAAGAAAGAGCTGACAAGCTCAATCTGGACCCAGCAAGGTTCCTTTGGCCTATGGAATTAGACCTAGTACAATGGGTTGTCAGGGAGCAAGAGGATGCCTTTGCTTGGGATGCTTCAGAAAGAGGGACTTTTTGAGAGGACATGTTCCTGCCCCTGAAGATACCTATGCTAGCTCACAAGCCTTGGATC